TCTGTGCCAATGCTGAATTCTTCAGTCTGATATCATAAAATGACTTGTCTGTTGTATTTACAGTTCCAGTGGCTCTGGACTCTGCCGGCAGCTGGCCAGAAGAACAGATTTGAACTTATCCATTATGCCAGAACATGTGCATTTGATTAAAAGAAAGAAGTTATGCATATTTTTTCTGGATGGTGGTATTCATCGGACCTCCCATAGTAAACTAATTGCAAGGCATGTTGCTACCAAAGTATCAAAACCACTTTGTGACATATAATAAACCAGTATATTTCTATAGGCAGTATTGCTCTTCAGCCTACCATGCCTATAGTTTTCTGTTATCCTGCTCTTCAAATCTGCACCTCAAGTTAGAAAATTCAGCATTTCATGGTGTTTTAATTGCAAAGGATAGAATTCAAATGCTATAGAACAGACCTCTTCTTTCTTCGTACATAAATGCAAAAATACCTTACCTCAGTTATGAGGGACTTTGTGAAACCACTCCTGTGACATCTCATCTACTCCTCCAATCCTCAGGAACAGAAACCTTGGTAACAAGCTGCTAGGCAGACCATGTTTCAAAACCTACCTAAGAACACCCCATCATGTGATAGGCAGAACCACCCATTCTGGTTTTCAGCAAACACTTGCTAGGCATGAAGTGCCACCACAAAAGACTAGCTTCTCCTGTGACCATCAGAGAGGGTCCAACAGGGTGAGGTGAGCAGGGTGGTTTCACAGCTACAAATAAAGGAAGCAAGTTTTCAAGAAGGTTCAAATCCCACAGGGACTTCTAAATTAACTAATCTCATATTGAAAACACTTTTTTTTTTAACTTCAGGCCAGATACACTGAATGTGAACAGTTGTGTTCTGAGCTGAAATCATCAGTCATGGGCTTCCTTTAACAACAGATCAACTCTTAAGATTACGAATTCTTGTCTTATTCTCTAGCCAGCAGGACTCATTGGTATCCAGGTGCAAGATGAGCTCAATGTCCCCAGTGGCAGACCTGACATAGATTTCAGCCCTTGATGGTACCCAGGAGGGTACTTGTGACTCAGAGCAGAATGTGCTGCTGTCAGGACGAGGTGCAGAGTCCATGCAGAGTGCAGTCACACCAGTTCAAAGTACCTTCCACCCCTCGCCCGTGAGGACCAACGCAGCCTGTTGGCAGCACGTCAAGCACTGAGGGCAGCAGGCACTGACAGCACTGCTCTGGGACCCTGCCCACCACAGGGAAAGCTGCCCTTCACCAGCAGAGGGAAATGAGAAAGAGGGAATAACCACAGCCTCTTAGCAGCAGATGAGCTGCCCAGCCATCACACTGCAAACACAGCTTTTAGGTTTGCACATCACCAGCCAGCCAACCTGGTTCCTACCATCCTCTGTCCCCTGTCTCCTCGAAGCAGGGACTTCCAGGGCTCCCCAGAAGCTCCTAAAAAAACAAACAAAACAAAACAACAGAACAAACCAAAAAAACCACAAAAGATACCACCAAACAAACAAAATCTAGCCCACAAAACAAAAAACCTCCACCCACCACCAAAATATTTCTCAGGTCTTGAAGGAGAAATTGAAAGGGCTTCTCCTCTGGAATATTTTCCTGCCTTTAAAAAAGAGTTACTGCCCTTACTTACATATAATACGGGGGGAATTTTCCACAGGGCATCCCGTCAAGTCACCGCAAATGCCAGTTAACCCAAAGAAGAGACCTTGGGACCTGAGGAACTGGAAGCTGCAGCACAACACCCTTTCACACGTGGTCCCTGGAGCATCATCTGACCCTGGGGAGCACTCCAGGTGACTGGCCTCACAGACCAAGCTGCAGCTTTTCTTCCTGGCCCCAACCACCCACCAGCTTTTCTTCAAGCAAAGCTCCAATAGAGTAGAAAGAGGTCTTCAAAATCAGAGTGACCTTGGTCCCCAGGCCAGAGCATCCCTCCACTCAAGGACATGAATCTTCTCACTCTGAGTAGAGGGCTAAACCTGGATCAACAACACCTCAGTGATATTCTCAGCCATTTACCTACTAGAAAAAGGGAATCTTTGTATTATCTTACTGGAAAACAGAGGCTCTAGTTGAGGAGAATGCAAAAGCCAGCAAGCAGTGCAAGTCTATCAACAGAAGAATCCTTTTATTATCTGGTTATTTTGATCATTTAACCATGTTTTGATCATCTAATCAGCTAATATTTTAAACTATGACTTACTCCAAAGATAGATTTTTATCACTAGTCTGCAAAGATGAAAGGTTACATTTCATTATCAGCCCTCAAATGTCAACCAACAGCTCATAAGAATATCCAATACCCTTGTAAAATTTTACTTCTATCCATTCTCTTTCATGCAATCTTAACTTTCTTGAAATGTTCTTGAAATTCATTTGGAAACAGTAAAATCTTAACTGGCTCACTTCTCTCATGTAGCTACAAGGAAAGTTTCCTTTAATGGACAAAAGTTCTTCTTGTGTTCCTTTGTGTAGCTACAAAAACATGAAGCACTTCACGCTAAGTTGATAGTAATCTGACATAAGTTCATTTACCAGGTAAACCTCTCCCCCTCTTCCAACACTTAGGCTGAAGACTGAAGTCACACTATTTATTTAAAAGTATAAACCTTTAAATAATGATGGGTCAATACGAGATGGATACATTTTCATGACAAGAGGAGTTACCATGTAGCCAAAGGCTTACATTTTAAACAAATTGTTCTGGACTCTTAGCTCATATAATACCTATATTCCAAAACAATAAATTACAATAGCATATGTCCCACAAAGAAGTTCTATGAAAGTTTATGGGCATCCATTTATGTGTATAATCTGTCTGATAAAAATACACTGAATTTAAATTAGGGATTTGTGTATATGCATTCACAAGACTTTAGATGATAAGCAAAATGAGAAGGTTTAATGATGGAACAGAAACGTCAGTAGATGACGTGGGAACCTGCATGCACTGTAGTAGTCAGTTGATTAGTCACAGGAATAATCTTCCTGCTGAAGACATCCAACATCTCAGTTACAGATGGCAGCTGCTATTCCAGGGCCTCACATATCCATGGTGCTTATTATTATAACAAGGGGATTGGTGACTATTAATGTCTGATAAAAATTTCTCTGCATTTAGTTTTACAAACAATATTGAGTCCCTTTCAGTCCTGGATTGCTGTGTAGCCCTTCCATGCGTTGTTCAGAGTCCGACACTTTCCACACTAAAGCACAAGCATCGAAAGTCTCTCTTTAAAGCAAGTAGCTTGGTGTCTATTTATAACACAAGTTCTGTCCTTTCTGTTATTACCATTTGTGCAAAAATGACTTCAAGAACAACACAATTCAGTTTTAAAATCATCTCCAAAACCCAAAGTCACTCAGCAAAAGATCCTTCTCCCTACCCAGTGCCAAAAGCCTTCACTCATCCAGTTGTCTTTTTCCAAATACCTTGTAAAAAGGCTGGACAACCTCCTTTCACTCCAATCCAACTTTAAAGTAAGCCCCTATTCTTTCACCCCCTCAACACCCACTCCATTAGCCAGTAACACACTTTCAGCAATAAACAGAAGTCACCCAGAGAAAGGACGAAGATGACCTTAAAGGTATGCCAAAGCAGAATGGTTATTTATACCTCCTAATACCAGGCTCCCAACAGGAATAAGTGAAATCCAATCTACCCACATTTTAAACCATATCTACCCAAGCATTAACTGAATTGATGATCAGTAATTCAGTGGAGCTAAGCATAGGAGCAGTGTTTCAACCTTTTATTATTACCACCACTGAGAGGAAATGTGGGAGGGTGCATGCGTAGGTTTCAGTATTCCCAAGCAACTGGTAAGCATCACCATTCTGTTTTCTTCATTTTTGTGGCGGGGAAAAATAAATCTCAGTACCACTCACACATCCTCTTAGTCCAGTGCAAGTAAGGGCCAAAAGAAATGCCTAACTGCTCACTGTTGTCATTTTTTTAAAGTTTCATTGTTTTTTGTTTCTGGAATATCTCTGAAAGCAGTGGACATTTTGAAAATATACTATATATTACAGGAATAAATAAATGGGGATGTTTTCAGCATTCAGGACAACGAATGAACTTAGTTCCAAGCCAGTCCACTTTGCCACAGCAAAACAGACAAGTAAAAAAAAGACAAGTTATCTCAAACTAATGACGTTGCAAGTGCAAATAAACTTCATTGGGAAAGAAACCAACAATACAAGTGTCCTATAACAACACAAGTGTCCTCTCCATTTCTGAGCAAAAAAGCCTAGAAAAAACAACTCTTTAAGACAAAAGTTTGCAGTGCTCAAACTGAGCATCCCTTATTTTGTGCCACATACCCAATGCAATAACGATAATCTCTTCTGCTACTGGACGCTGCCATGAGTAGGAACTTCGAAACTACTTTGTATAATACTACCACATGGGCGCAAACAACCAAATAATAGGATCCGACCTGGGTACGTTCGCAGGGAGGGAGGTGGAGAGCTTCCTCACCCCCGAAACATAGACAAGGCTAGACGTTTTTGGCGGGGTAAGCCCCGCGCCGGTCCACCCTCTCCGCACCTGGGGCGAGCAGTAGCGAGCGGCGGGGTGCAGCGGGTCCGGCCCCACCACCGAGAAGCGGGGAGCTGCCTGCAGCCCCCTGGACGGCTGCGAAGTGATCGCCGGTGCCACACAGAGGAACAGGCAAAGGACTGACCAGGGTCCGGCAGCCGAAGAGCCCAGCGAAAACCCAGCAAGAGGAGCCGCCCCGGAGCGCTGCCTGCACCAGCGGGGCGAGGGACCCCCGCACCCGGCCGCCCGCCGGCAAGGGCGTCCCTCGGGCAGCGCACGGCGCCTCCGCAACCCGGGGCGGTGCTGCGGGACAGCCCGAGCCCACAGGCACCCACAGGCGGACGGCGCGGACGCCCGTGTTAAGTTTCCAGCAGGTCCCACGAGCAGCTGCGAGGCGGGTCGGGCCGGCTGGGAGCCGGTGCGGGCGGGCGGGCAGGAGGGATGGGACCCCGGGGACCCTCACCTTGGATCGCTCTTTCACGTAGTACTTGCCGAGTCGGCTCCCGCAGTACATCACCAGCCGGTCTATCAGCGTGAGGAGAAAGTTGATGGCCTCGCAGCCCTCCTCCGTGCCCCCGATCCACTTGATCTGGTCGCCGCGGAGGTGCCGCTTGGCGACGCCGCGGCTGGGGCCGGCCAGCTGCCCGTCGGCCAGCTCCCCGTCGCGGTGCATCCGCTTCACCCGCTCCAGCACGCAGTCCCCCACCACCTCCCCCAAGAAGTTGTCCAGGTAGCAGAAGCCGATGTCGTGCAAGCAGGGCACGACGTACTCCAGGGCGATTCTCTCCAGGTCCAGCCTCATGATGTGCCCCAGCGGCATGGCGCGGCGGGGACGGGAGCGCCGGTGCCCTGCCGGCGCCCGCGTCGGGAGGCGATGCCCGCCGGGCCGCCGCCGGCTCCAGGCCGAGCCGGGCAAGGGCTCCGCCGCGACGCGGGGCCAGGCGAGGCGAGGCAAAACTTTCGCAGCGGCGGGCTCGGCTACGCACCGCGGCCCGGCGCTGCGGGAGCGGCGGTGCTGCCGGAGCCCAGCGCTGCTACTGCCGCCGCCACCGCCCCAGCAGCGTGCGGGACCGCCCTGGGGCGTGCGGGAGGGCGCGGCAGCCCCCGCCCGGCGCGCGGACGGCGGCGGCAGATGGCCCCACGCTGATTAACACGCCGGCTACGTGCGGGATGTGTGCTCGCGCCGCCGCGCGGGGGTGGAGCCGCCGGCGCGGGCCGAGTGCCCCGCCCACTCCTTGCCCGCGGCAGCGCGGACAGCCAATCGCCTGGGGTGGGGCGGGGCCAGCCCCCGGGGAACAGGCGGCGAGGGCTCCCACACGTGCACGCGGGGGGCGTGGCCCCGGTGCCACCTCCTCGCGGGGTGGGCGTGGCCAGCGCCATTGAGGAATTCTCGCCTTGCATGTCGGCGGGGCTGAGACCCCCCCGGCCCCACCGAGCCGTCCCGCAGGCACCCTGGGACACACCGCACCGCACCTCGACGTACCCCGCCGCTCCGGGGCTCTTGGACTAGTCCAAGTGAACTTTGCAAAAGCCTCCCTGGGCTTCTCCTGCCGCCTCTTACCTCCGACTGCTGCAGCGGCAGTTTCAGCACCAGACAGATGTGTCGCATTAGGCGGCAGGTACCGCTTTTCTGGGCGAGGAATGCACTCCTTTATAAAGGTTTATGTAATAAAATAACACTTCCCTGAATTATTTACCCCAAAGGGCCCGTTAGGTTGCTTGGCTCTGCTAGCAGGAAACACCTCTTGAACCGTCGGCGGCTTCGTGCCACGCCGGGACAACTGCAGTCAAACCGTGACAAACTTCATTCCTCGCTTCCAAACCAAAACTCGCCGTTCCTCCGCGTGACCCCTTGCCAGTAACACTGTCCCTGCACTGGCCGGCCACGAAATACTGTCCCGCTGTCGCTGTTCAGTCTGTGTCCGACCGAGCAGCACGCTTTCACGGAAAAACGCCTCATGAGAAAGGAAAAGTAAATAACCGCTCAGCTCCTCTCACACACGCAACATGCTCGGGATTCACTAAACAAACACACGAAGCCTCTACAGAAATCAAAACCAAAGCAAAGACACGTTGCGGAGAGACGCTGCCTGCGGCCAAGCCGGGCGGGACACCGGGCGGGACAGGGCGGACGTGCCTCACTCGGTGTCCCTGAAGTTACCGGCATCACGCCCCGCTCTAATTTCGCCACCCTGCATCCATCCGTGTGACGAGGGCATCCATTCTGCTCGGTGGCGACCTGTGCTGTCCCACGCGTTCCGCGGCACCGCGTCCCGCGGTGCCTGCACACGCACACCCACCCCCCGCAATTCCACCGATGACAGCGCGGGCTCAGAGCCGCCCGGGATTCCCGCAAGATGCGGCGGGGGTGTGTCCGTATCGTGTCCCGCAGGGCCCCGCGCAGAGCCCGGCACAGCGCGGGGTGACATGCGCTTCAGCTGGAACCCGGTACATTTCACCCCCTAAAAAGGCAAAATCCATGCTGGTTCTTTTCTTCCCCTTCACGTCGCGAATCCTGACGAGATTACAAGCAGTGCGTGCTGCTGATGCTGCTCGAGCTGCAAACTCCAGGTCCCGGCACATGCAGGAGTGGGTCACGTATCCCACGTTTGTTCTCCTTGAATCCAGTAGCATCTACCCCTCAGTGCACAGCACTAAGCACAGGTCTAATCCTATAATATTACTCCCTGACAGCTCTATCGACATCCAAGCAGTATGACATCAGATAAATTCATATGTGGTGAGATACGGACTGTGAAATGACTTCCTTTGATTTAGGTACACACTTCACATTTAAGTGGTTTTATAACTAATAAGATACAATTCTGCATCTTATTAATCCCTTAATGCTTATCTGAAAAATCAATCAGGCATGATAGACTAAGAGCAGCTGTCATAATCAGCAAGGGATGCAAGGTTCAACTACAAAATCTCAAAGTTATGAAATTTGAATACAGTAGGAAATATTGCTGCATTCACACTTTTTTGTCATGTAAAAGCTATTATGTGCCAAAATCCTTTGAATTCTCTTGGATTTCCCCCATTTTCTTGTTTACACACCCATTCAAGCACATACTCCTGTGCCAGAATCAGGTATTTGTAGATTCTGACCTTCTAGCCTTTCTGTCAAGTGTAATGATGCTGCCTTGACAAGTGAAGGGCTGAGAGTGATGTCTTCCAGCAGTAGCTGAAGTTGGTCATTACAGCTTTATTTTTCTCCTTTTGAGAGTTTTTAATTATGAGTTAGGCAGATCTGCACCAGAAAAAGCCACCTTAGAGAGTTATAGATTTGTCTTAGAAAACTGAGTCCGTGGCCCTATTTGCAGAGTGAGGTTCACAGAGTTGTAAATACTTTTATTTCTCAAGCATTGACAAGTCATGTCTTCCTCGGGAGGGCATCTGCTGCCCTTTGTTTGCAAATCAGGTTTTCTGGCGGACAGTGTGCTTTGTCCCTTAAAGCATGATGTGCTTTTCACACTAGCATTTGCAGTAGCAGTCAGACTGTTACATGTGAAGATAAAACATCAAGAGAAACAAAACCAAAGAGTGGTGATTTTTATTTATATTTATTTACGAGTGCTATTTTACTTCATCTGTTTGCCCATTAGTTTGTGAGAAATGTGATGATGATGAAGAAGCTTGTGATTGTTTAGGTTAGAAACTCTTTCTCCATGCATACAGACTGCACCAAGAAGCAGTCTTCTCATCATTATACAGGAACGAATTTGTAAACAGCCTCTATCAGCCACCTTCATCATCACCAAGGAAGGACAGATTCCTGCCTAGCCCACAGACACTCTGCAAGAGCTCTCTTAATCCCCTTAAGGCTTCCAAAGCTGAATCAAGAGATTCTGGGCTGCAATGTTGGTAATTCCCAAGCTAAACTATGAACTTGCCAATAAAGATGCAAAGCAGCCCTCAGCGTATGCTATCCTGTACAAGAACCACCCAGAGGAATAAAAGCCAGAGCAGGACCAGACATTGAACCTTCCCAACCACTCTACTGCTCGCCAAAAAAAGCTATCATGTAGGACATACAATGTAAGTGTTGCACAGGGCACGAATAAAGGCATGAAGGTGTGAAACCAGGCAATTCACAATGTCACCCACACTTTTGAACATGGACAGTTTGTCTACATTGCTGTGTATCACAGCCATGAAAGGCGTTACCACATTCAATTATATATGAGCAATCCCTTTGCCATGAGAAGCCCTGTTTATCCTTACATTGTAGAAAATTTTATTTTCCCTTTTAAAATTAATTCTGTATTTTCTTACTTTCCATTCTAGAATCTCACTTTCAAAACTTCTAAGTCTGTTGCTTACACCTGCCGCTATGGCACATAGTAAAGTTCAGTAGACCAAAACAGAGCATTAGCATGCTGGCAGAATGATTTTAAGGAGATTTGTTTCAGAGGATTAGAATAATTGGTGTCAGTCAAGCTGGATACTTGTTACACACTAATGCATTTTTCTTACAACAGAATTTACAGATGAACTGCTTCACACTTTTTTAGAGCAGTGAGTTTTAAACGTTTTAAGTCTTGTTTTCAGATTTTTTCTTTTTGGAAAGCCAGACCACTTCAGCGCCAAGGGCTTAACTGCAAAGGCTCCAGCAAGAGAAAGGGAAGAAGGGAAAAGTATTCTTTATATCAGTGAGAAATGGTAAAATAGTATTTTTAATACCTCATAATACAATTTGTAGAGCTGATGTCTCATGATCTAGTAAGGCATTAATTGAAGCCCTGCCTACAGAAACTACTTTTCTGGCAATGTTGGTATGGTTATACAACCCCTTTGGCCAAGGCAGTGTTTGTACAGGGATGGCACACCAGTGCTAGCACATCTTGCCATGCCTTCTTGAGAGGTCACTAACCCCACTTGCCTTTCCCATCCCTCTGCTGCAGGTTGCAACCTCTCCCCTGCAGGGCTGACAGAAGAGAACATGTGTTTCTGCCTCGGCCCCTTCAAAAGTGCAAAGTCCAGAGCCTTACACCCACCTTCACTGGAGACTTAGTTTTACACAGAAAAAGCGGAGGCATCAGCACCTGTACCATTACTCTGCCTGCTGTGCACATACCAACTCCTGGCAGAGCAGTCATGTTTTGGTGTGGTCTCCTCCAACTACAGCAGCGAGACTTGACAGAGCTCCTTTGTCAGCACCCTTAATATTATGTCATACTGAAAGCAGGCATGAGGGCAAAGGTACGTGTCATGGCTTGAGCTGATCTAGTAACTCATTCAGTGCCTTTTCCCCCACACCTCTCTTTGCACTCGCTTTGGCACACTTTAAACTCCTTCACAGCCGATCCCACTTGCTAAGGTGACAAAAAGGCTATCCTGAGCAAAACAATAAAGAAAGAGTCATTGTATGCCAGGTTGGAGGGTTAAGTTACCTTGAGTCAGGTCCAGTGAGATGCACTGGAAGGATGGGAATCATTGGGACTGACCCACTTGGGCAGGAGTGAATGATCTGATAAACAAGAAGGAACACAGGTTACAGAGAAGGCTGGGCTACTCAAAAAGTTCTTTGCCACAGTCTTCACCAGCAGTCAGGCCTCCCATGTCTCTCAGTCCATGAGCCTCTAGATGGGAGTTGGGGGAGTGAAGTCCCTCACCTTGTAAGTGAAGAGCAGGTTCGAGATCCCCTGATGATACTGAATAGGCACAAGTCTATGAGGCCTGATGAGATGCATCCCAGAGTCCTGAGGGAACTGGTTGATGGTATTGCCAAACCACTCTCCATGGTATTTGAAAAGTAATGGCTGTCAGATGAAGTCCCTGTTGATTGGAAAAAGGGAAACATCACTTCTATTTTTAAAATGGGGAGAAAGGAAGACCTGGGAAACTACAGACTGGTACCTCA